GGACAGAAAATTATTACTTTCAACATAATCATTTAAACTGTTTACTTCAGTTCCTAATAAAAACTGTGGTTAACAATTTTGCTGGGCAGCTTATAAAACATATTGGCCGAAAATTTCCAGGGTAATCTGTACTTCCTTCACCTTTGCAGATTGGGCGAATAATACCATTTAAGGATTGTTTGGCATCACAGCACAGCAGCAACTATAAGATTACATGGTCTGGTACACAAGGGTAAAAGAGTTAGCACTGAAGATTTAATGTATGTCAGTGGAGATGGCGAGTTAGGTATTTCAGAGACACTCCTGCCAACATGACATTGCTTGGATGAGCGCCTCCAACTCAAGGTTGTTGATGTGTGATGTGTGCTGTACGTTGGACCACAGCCCTGAAGCTGTCTGGTCCTGTAAATGAGCACCCCAACCCTGTAGAGAGGCTTCTACGAACAGTTGTAACGTTGGAGCCAACTTTGTAAAGGAGACACCTCCTAAGACATTCAACTCTCTTGTCCACCAACTGAGATGCATCCGTAGGCGAGACGGTGGAGTGATGATTATGCAGGGGTCCTGACACTGTATTGGGCGTAGGTGCAGACAACCTCTGCTTGTCAAATCCTGGGTTGATGTGAGCACCCCAGCAACATTTGCCACTGGTGAAGTGTGCTGGATTGTCGAAGGGCAGGTGAGAGATGGTGCGGTATCTTGAGCCATCTGTACTGTGGCACTGTTAGGTCCTGATCTGTCTGACCTATAAACTGGAGTCGGTAGGATGGAATCATTTCCGACTTCGCCTCATTGACCACCCATCCCAGTTGTAGGCACCTGGTAGAGTCGGAGAAGCAGGTCCGGATGGTTCAGGAGACAGTCGTCTATGTACAACTTGAACCGAATGTCCCTCAGGTATATGAAGACAGCCACTGACTTTGTGAGACCTTGGCATGGGACTCAGTGACCTGATCATTAAATAATGAGGAGGCCGACCACAGTTGAAGAAGGAACTGGTGTTTGAATTCACAATCCCAATTAGACAAAGCCAAGTAGCCTGTCCGGCGGGTAGCAGCTATCTCAGCAATATGCCGCTATGCTGCATATTTTGGACACACCCATGCTTACAGTTCGATTCCCCAGTATTTGAACATAACTCGCATATTGCATCAGATGTTTGGGTTCACTAACCCCTTGAAGGCCAATTTTCTCTTAACATCAATGTTGAAGGGCATCAAAAGAACCAAAGGATGAGCCTCTAACTACAAATTGCCTTTCACTCCAAACATGCTACTGCAAGTTCAACGTACAGTTTCCTCAACAAATACAGATGCTGTGCGTTTTCTTGCAGTTTTTGTGCTTCTTTGGACTATTTGGAATCAGCACTGTTACTGCAGGATCTGTATCTACGAAGTTTGCCAAATCAGTGTGCTGATCAGATGCGAGGTTCACTAAAAAGGGGCGGTTTTGTGCGTGCGATCTTCGAAAAACATTTAGTTCAACAATAGATGCCATTATTTGACACGACTCCTGTATCCAGAGCATCCTCTGTGTCCAAACACGGCGCTCAGTGCCCTCCACATCTCAAAAGACTAGCTGAAGAACAATATGACCTTTAGCTACGTTTCCTATGCCATCCATAATCTAAAACATGTTAAATTGTTTTCCTTACCACTACAGAATTTTGGGTTGAGAGTTTCTCATACTTATCAATGTAGACATTTCATGCTGCAAAGTTTGCCAAGATATTGTTTGCCTTGCATCAGCATCAAACTGTTATTAAACAAGGAAGTAGTTTGTGTAGTTTAGTTGAATAAATATTATTGTGCCAGGCCCGGTGCTGTTAAATCGGAAACACATTTCAAAGTGTCTAAAGATGAAATAGTATCCTGGCGTCATCAGTTTTCGTTCAGATGAGACACACGAGCGCATTAGATACAAACGAATATAAATAGAGCAGTAATAATATGGTACCTACCTGTTGATACAGTCAATGTCCTTTTATTCAAATGTTATTTATGAAAGTCTATGATGAGAGAGTCTGTATCGATTGCTTCTGAAGTTCTGAGTTTGGCCATGACACTTTAGAATGAAGTCATATGTTTTCTCTTGCCTCATTGGCTTGCTATTTACGTCCAATAAGCCTCGCACAAGCTTGTCACATGCACACTGAGGGGAATCCCACTCACAAAATGACATTGATAAAGTTAACTCAAGGTGAAAAAAGTGTCAAAACTTGAACAACTGGATGTATTACACAAATTCAAAAAAGATTTACACAATTATAATGCACATCACTCTTCTGGCTCATCGTCGCAGGGATACCAAAACTTTGCATTTCCTCTCAAACACTTGACAGGCGTACGTGTATAGATCAAATGAGTCCAATATGAACATGCCAGGTGTTTGCATTGTGCCCTTTTCATAAGTATGAGCGATGTACATTGCCGAACTTCATATAGTTATAGCTGCCACTTTTTGCACTTGCAGCAAAGTTCACTCTCATCACGCTGTGATTCTTCTGTATCTGTCGGGTCTGCACCAAGAAACCAGAAGTTCCCATAGTCGTAGAATTTCACGACTTATACCAGGTCACTATTGTGGATTTAATCTTTTGGCTTTCTTTATGTGCCACTATTTTGGCCAAGATATTGCCCTCCATTATTGCTTTTCCTCCAACAACCGAACTATGGACCTTTCTTTTCTTTGTGGGTTTAGGATCTGTTGTCAGAACGTGTTCAGCATTTCAAAGAAACTAGTACACCTGGTGGTACTGACGTCATCATTGTCAGCTGAGGAAATTGTCGTTGTGGAAGGTGTAGTAGACATCTCAGCACTTGTCATATGATGCATTTCTTGAACACAGACTGCAGATTCATTGGTGTGGGGGCAGCACAATAGACTTTGCATGCGACTTCTCATAATGAATCTCCGTCAATCACAGACCTTACATATTCCCTGTGTAAATTTTCTTGATAGGACCAAGACATCCAACATCCATAGGCTGGAGTAGATGCAATGTATGCGCTGGCAAGGAGACAATGATGAGCTTTTCCCATGCCCACTTGATGAGGACAGAGATACATGTGATTTATTGCCATCATAAAGAACCAGAACTGCTGTAGTCTCAACATAGTACTTGCTGAAGTGATTCTCAAGACATTTCTGAAAGATCTCTATGTTAGACCCACATGTTTCACTGACAGTGCCTGAAGTACTGGGAGTACATCCTGTCAAAAGTTCATCCCTCATTCGCTGACCCTTAAACACGAAGTAGGGAGGTACTGCTAACCCAGTTGTGCTTCCATACAGTCGTTGTGTTGGACCTGGACATTGTGACAGCAACCTGGACTTCAGAACGTGTGGAAACTACACGGGGAGGAATGTGGCTCTGAACTATCCCTTTCTCGTCAATGTTATAAACAAACTGAGGTCTGCCTTTTAGGTTGTACTTGTCCAGGATCTTTTCCAATTCATCAATTATCATTACATAATGAATTATCGTCTTTTCTGATGTGGCTTTTTTTCTCATGATCTCAAAATAGCAGGGCTTCCGCACTCTAAGCTCTGTCCATCTCTAAAGAAAACAGTAAAACCACTGAAGTGAAAGAGGCTTGTCATCTTTTGGTTTCTTCCCAAAGCCGACAGCAAGATCAGTAGCTAAGGCTGTGACTTCTGCACGAGAATACCCATACCCAAGAGTAGACATCATCTCTACATGAGATACAAAGCTTTGTTCCTCCTCTTGGGATAATAACGCATTTAGTGCCCGATCTCACACATTTAACAAAATCGATCACGAAGAGACGAATAGGGCATGGAAAACTGTCTCACTGCACTTTTGAGCCCTTTGCCAATAATGAAGGCTTCATTAGCTTTTTCTATGCTTTCAGGTGGATATTGCCGGTAATTGATGGCAGATGGCAGATTTGAACAATGAGGTTGTATCTGCGCGTGAAATTTGTTTAAATGAATCAACTAAAGCCACATGGAAATTTTTAATTTGGATATAGCTGCATGGCTTGACAACAGTACGTGAATTTATAATACACTGAACAATTTTCATCTGTTGTGTAAAATTGATCGTGTTTGTTTTGCGTATGAGCATAATAATCTGGTTCAATAGCAAATTTGCTGGTTTATAATTATGAGTACACACAAGGGACATGGGTCGGGATATCATAGATATATGTAAATCCTGCCCCCACCCAAAAAATATTTGACAACAGTGCATACTTACTTGTTACACTTATCTGAAGAAGTTTGAAATGGCATAGTGTTGTTTTAGAATAAATCAGCCAGGTACCTATTATTTGTAATAACCAAACATGTGCGATTGGGACATTCATACATAACTAAATCTTGGGGAAACAAAATGGCGAGTTCATTAACTGTAAGGGTACAAATAATTTGGATACAATCATAGATCTGTATTTCATTCAAATGAATTATGAATAGTAAATTACAAGAAGGGCATTTTGATATATACATTTTCATACATACATTTGGAATACAAACATTGTATGAACTGCTGTAACTCAGAAATTCAGATAGGATTTCATTATTGGATGTGTAATCAAAGTACACCAGTATACTGGTGAAGCAAGGACCTCTGAGTAATGCTAATGAATAATTCTATTCCAATCTGTTTGGGGTTTAGTGAAAATACTCACCAAGGGTAGAGAGGGAATGGTCTGCCATTAATTGGTAGCCAACTAATGATACTTTTTAATATCTTTTTGGCACCAACAAGTCCACAATATTACTGATGCTCTTTGTATGCAAGATTTACCAGAAGGATGATGGGAGAAGGTTAGTCAGGAAAAGCAGGGCAGAATTTATTGAATCTCAACCATAAATTGACAAATACTATTGTTATGTATCCTATATGCATACAATTTCTAGTGTATGAAAAGCCAATTAATGGCTGGAGGCACTGTATGTCCTGTGTATATTTTATGTACTGTTTAGTCCTATAGACTTTTCAGAAAACTATTACAAATAGAATCATACATTACCTGATTGACATTCCTTAAGTCTTCAGCCAAAAGACTCAAGTTTGTTCCAACAGTATCATTGCTGAGCTGAAACACAGACACAGACTTAAATACACCTCTTTACGAACTATAAAGCCAATCACATTACCTAATTTCAATGACATAACACACCTCATTAAAGTACAGGTATGACGGTGTCCTCCCATTAGTTAGACGTCCCAATAGTTAGACAGCTTATAACAACACTTTAAACGGTTGAGTGCACACTAATCCTTATGCTTGTTACCTCAGACTTTAAAATGGAATAGTCCTGATAAGATCTGACAAACAAAGCAAAGCAGCTTTGAATAGATACTTTAATATTATACTTAACATTTAATGACACTTTACATTTGATAAATTTTATACAGTTTGTAACAACACTTTGTGACAGTTTTTGGTCATGTATACTTTACATTTAGTAACTTTTACAATTTATTTATCCCAGACGAAGCAAGTGTGCTAGGTGACAGAGGTCTGTTGAGTCGCTCTTGAACTTCTGTCCTCAGTTGTCGAAAAAGCCGGCCATAGGTTGTTGCTTGGCGATCTGGCAAAAGGGCGAACACTAGAGGGAAGGTGTTGGGACCAACTCTGGCATGAATGATGTATACTTGATCCCATAAACCTGGACATGCTGTGAAGGTACCATCCATGTAAAGGGTGTCAGCTTCCTGGAGGTCTTGTATCTGTTCTACAGTGGAGAAAGCCAGGATCTTGTCATTCTGAACAGTAGAAAGGGACGTTCATCTGTTGTCTCTGACCATTTGTCTTCAATGTCTACTGCTGACCGCGACCTGGGTAACGCTGGAATGTAACGCCTGAACAAGAGCAAAGGAACAGTTACACATATGTTACATGAAATATTGATAATGATTTCATTAACTTGAAATGTTTAAGAGCGAAACAAGTTATGTGGGACGTAAAAAAAAGAAGTAAATTCTAACCAAGTCAAAAATACGGGATGATATTTACCTGTAAAGTGCATTTTTTACACTCTGAAATGATGGCATCCCTGGCATGTTGGGTTCATCTACTTGAGTGACTTGCTGAATCTGTGTGGTTTCTTCTCGCGCTCTTTTACGAAGATTGCTGACAGAGTTCACTCTGGTTTCATCTTCAGGCGGATGTTATGTTCCGACTGATTGCAAAGAAAGTCACCGACAGTCGTACATTTCCCATTGCACGTCTTGACGACACATCTCCAATGTGTGCGGGTTTGCCTCTCGTGGTTTCTGTTGTAAATATATCCATCTAATATCAACTGCTCACTTCCACGCCGAGAGGTGAGGTACTCTACTTTCCTTAAACCAGCCATATTGATACTGATAATCATTTTTGTTTGTTTGATGAGTAGATAATCTAAACTCAACTCCTTCAACTGATCATACAGTAAGACAATTAAGCTACTCCATAGTTCACATAGTTAATCTCATGCCTATTGAACGTGTGCTGAGAGTAAGGTAATTTAGGTTAATTAAACGAAATTATAACATATATACTCCCTAAACTGTGAGTCCCCTATCCCTACTCAGTACTTTAATCTAATTAGGACTGATCCATTACACCTGTAGGTATATTCCCTCTTTGCCGAAATAAACATGTCTAACAATTGGGACGTCTAACTAATGGGACGTCTAACTAATGGGATATAACTGGTATGACTGTCTCTCAAGTTGCCTGCATTCAAACATGCCAAACTCAAGCTTCCAAAGCCTTCTAAACATATATATGCTTTCAGATTCTGCTTCTCTCAGTCACTTCCATTCCCAATGTATAACTGTTTGGTTTATAATAGAAATCAATGAATAAATATTTGTGATCTTTATCTTTCTGTTCCATTTATTGGTTGTAAATAGTCTTGTAGTCTTTCATTATAGATGCCCGGCTTGGAAAACCAGGATACAAGATACAGAAAATTTGTAAAACTCAAAGCAAGAAAAAGAACTCTGATGTGGACCCAGTGAGTACTGCCAATACCCTGTGGAGATCAGACAGGCATGGGAGAACTTGCAGTCGAACTGAGCCACAGTAGATATTATGTTACCATATGTTGATAGACACCCGAATTGGATGTTCTTACAGAAATGATAATAATTTGTTGTCATGCCTAAACTGACGCTTAAACTAAACTCAGGCATCCAGTTATGATGCTTTTATTATGGGCATTAGATATGAACATATGTTTTGTAATGATGCTATATAAAAAAAAATTAACTGTCAGAAAACCTTTAATGGTAGTTATTCATAAGATATATTTTTTATAAATAAAACATAAAAATATAATATCATGGCAACGTTCCATATCACCTAAATATTAAACCATATATATTCAAACCAAAACATTCAATAATTATCTCTATTGAAATAATGTTAATCTAAATGCCATGTAAACTAAGACTTAAATTGGGTGTCTAAGTATCAATGTAAACAAACCTTAATCCCCATAAGCCAACTATATAAACATAACCCTTAAATAACATTGTCTCCTCCACTTAATTAAATCTGTATTCAATAAGTCTAGACAGCACCCTTAAGTACCTAGTGCTAATCATCTAAAACAATAGATGTCAATTGCCAGCTAGTTAGAGTCAAAGGACAATAATTTGATACTTTGAAGTTTACACTGTTTCTTTCATGCTGTTTGGCTGAATGGGTAGTTATGTGATCTGATATTTAGAGTTCACACACCTGTGAACGGACAAAAAAAAGTTCACACGATGTGAACAATTGTTTGTGAAATTGATAGTGTGAACTTTTGCCGGAACTACTTTCCGGGGTTTCCCGAATTGTCGATCGGTGTTTACGATCAACTCGTTTTTCTATTTTCTTTTTAATACCTGCATTTATCAGCAATAAAATTAATTAAGTATTTTTGCCTGGTCTTGTAACATTTCATTTGACTTATAAATAAATATATGCTTTGGTTCTGGTGATTGATGTCGTCTAACTGCTACATGAAACAAAATGGATTGTCCTTGCAGTGATTTGGATATGGAATGGCTATCTTGCAATACTAATAACGTAAGTGAAGAAAATTAATTCTGTAAAATTACTGAGGTGAACGAAATTGATTTATTGTGCGATACTGACTTTGATGCCTTGTTTTCGGAAATGACAGGAATCTAGCACCAATGAAAACAATTTCATACCCTGCTCAGATGTGGCCGCGGATTTACTATCGCATCGGGGAAAAAATCTAAGATTTTGAGAAAACATAAAAAGGTAAGGAAAGAAACTTAATTTAAAAAACCCAAAAACTTGCCTACCTGTTTTATCGATTGGTCATCGGAGACGAGAAAATATCCGTAGACGGAATTAGAAATCTACTATTCCGGTTTCTGAGTTGGCCGGCCTTCTACGTGCATTCTAGGCCGAGAAGCGGCGGCATATGAGGAGTGACGGGGCACAGTAATGAAGCTGGCATCAGGTCATACAGTAGGTCCATCTCAGGTGACAGGAAACACCAGCTAAGCAAAGTATTACAGCACACACGACAAATCCCAAACTCCAAATATAATACACCCTGACGTTGGCAATTAACACAACACACAAGTTACAGAGCACTTGGTTCAATCCCCACCAGTCCATTCCGCATCGTCCAAATTGGTTTGCTATTATCCAAAAACAAGCAACACATTCATAAATCGGTGATATTCCCAATTTGCTAGTGCCATGAGAGGGTTCATGCATTGGGGTGTTTTCCATAACTGCTCCATAAACGTCATTTACAACAGCAGTAAGTATAAATTTCATCCTCATGCTCCCGTTCGACTTGAAATACACCTCTTTACAAACTTATGTGACGTCATATATAAATCCGCGCTTGAAGGTTGACCTTGCCTCGGTGCATCGAGGTCATGTTTATATTTTTGTTCAATTTCCTGTAACCTATTTTTAAGATTTGATTTATCCCAAATATTGTTTGTAAATTTGTTCAGAGAATGAAATTGTGTTGACATATTTCTAGATTATGATTTATATATTCAAAGAACTATTTGTTTTTGCGTAACTGAGTACGAGTGGGGAAACGTATAAGACCGAGAGCTGGCAAATACCGACAATATAACATTGTTGCAATGTTCTTCGGCGAAACCAGAGGACTTCAAATTTAAGAAAAAAATGTTACGATATTATTCAGCGAGACCAGTAAACTACAAAGTATGAAATTATAAGAATTGAACGTCAGTTTGGATGGGTCACAAGCTCGGAGGTTCACACAGTTGAACTAGCGCTTTTAAATCGTTCACACTTCAATGAACCCATCCAAACTGACGTTCAATTCTTAAAGGGGCACTGATCTCACGCAATTCCCCGGGACTGGTTGTTGCCTTTGTTATTGTTTTTTCCCAGTGAGTACCCGGATGTATAGCAGAAATCTAGACTAGTTCGCGACCTCTGCTGCGCCATTCGTAAGCGCATTAGTCACTTGTATGGGTAGTAATATAGAGGGCGTATGGTCACATTGATCAACAAAATGAAATACAGTTTTGGAGGTAATAAGGAAATGTAGGTATCTTTGTGGTTAGCATCGGTAATGGTGACAAAGTTTTGATAAGTCACTTGCTTGGTAATTTTCGCGATTTTCGTTTACACCATTTTGACTTGCAACACAAAGTAAATATTTCACCTGAGCATTGCTTTTTGATAGTGTGTATATTTTTTACTGTCAAAATGTGTAACATTTTCAAATTTATTCAACGCCTAAATATTCAGTTATTTAACAAAGTGACTGAAAAACATTTCCATATGTAGTATTATGATAACGAATTCCAAACATTTTGATGTTTAATGTCATCACCAAGAGACTGAAAATGTTACGTTGAAAAGTACATTTCTATGTTGTTTGGCTTCTAATCCTACATAATAATCTGTTGTGATGTTTGTAGGCCCTTTTGATCGCCTTAATCAATCTGGACAGATTTTTTAGTCAAAATGACTGAAATATTTACACATTTTAGAAATTGCCTGAGAGAATTACATTTTACAAATTGACGGTAATATATAACGCTTACAAGGGAAAAGGCCTGTGAAAACAACGTCTATCGCGC